CTTATGTTTTAAAGATGTATGAACTTTCACTTCTTTAAATAAATATTTTGACTTTTTAGAAATTTAACTATTCTGTTTTCTTGAGAATAAAATGAGATCTTTTCATTAGAATATGTTGAGATATTACAAAAACTTGACTGCACTCTTTCTTCTGACACATCGATCGTTTTTTAAAAGTCTTTTTTCTATAATCTTCGTAGGTAATTAGAAATTTGTCGATCGCTCAAGGATGATGCGTTTGTCTTACATCTGATAAATATTCTATCGAAATCCTCTTAAGTTTTCGTTATGAATTTTGGAGTCTAGTTTATTCTAATATCTATGGAGAAATATATAACTAGTTACAAGGTTGTGATTTATGATAATCTCGATGAATAATGAAAGAAGAATCTAAATTAGTTTATTAGTATCAGATATGTATGTGATAATGAAACTTAGATTTTTAAGACGAATTAATGAATTGATACGACAAGCGAAAAATTCTAGGGGAAGAATACCATAGATAAAATGATGTCAATTTTTTGGTATATTTTATCAAAAGAAAATATTGAACAGCAACACTATTGACGTACTTCTAAAATTTATTTATTGTTGAGACTATTTTTTTTCTCATTCTTTAACAGTCGTCTGTCGTAGATAAAAAATAATTTATTACTACAAAAGTTAATAGAGCAGCTAAGTTTTTTATTTGATTACTGTAATCTTTATGACTTATGCATATTTATCATCTAGTTGTTCTTTTAAGATTTATACTGAAAACGTAGTATATACTCAGCATTATATTCTTTTTATGGTATAAGAGTTAAAAAATTAAAGTTTCTTCGCGTAAGAGTTTCAATCAACGACGAACTCATTAAAATAACAAGCTCTAAAATGAAATCATTAATGAAACTAAGCTATTTAACATTTTTTTCAACTGATTTATTAAGATCAATCAGTGTGACGTTTCGTTCTAACTAAGAACATTATCAAACACAAATAAATAGACAGAAGAAGAATATATATAAGAGTAAAATAATGTCTTCGTTTTTCTATTCTATTATTTTAAACATTCTAATGCAGCCGGATCAATTTTACTCCTCTCGTATATTGAAATGCTTAAAACAATAGAATGGAAAACGATGACATTATTTTACTCTTATATATATTCTTCTTGTCTATTTATTTGTGTTTGATAATGTTCTTAGTTAGAACAAAACGTCACACTGATTAATCTTAATAAATCAGTTTAAAAAATGTTAAATAGCTTAGTTTCACTAATGATTTTATTATGGAATGGGGTGCTACCAAATGACAAATAAGTTCTATATTATGTATTTTTTCTACGAATATCGTATTTTGTCAACTATCTCGATGGAATGTACAGACAGTTTTCCACAAATACTATCCTAAGAAAAAGCAAAAATAAACGCAGAACGTAAGATGAAACTAAATCCTCTACATCGTTCAATTTTGAAGACTTCTTCTATTAGTTATCTGAATCTTTTTGCTCATGTTTTCTAAGCTCGACCAACGGACAATGAGAATTCTTATTCACAATTCGTATACAGTAAATATGTGAATTTCTTCGTAATCTGAATAGTATTTTAGATTAAATTCAGATATCATTCATGTATCTTATCTTTGTGTGCATTCACATCGCTCGCAGAAGTGATGTTTACTTATTGAGCAATCTTCATCGAATGAATGAATGAATCTGCCGGACGAATTTATTTTCTCTTTTGTCCTTCTCTAACTTTATTCTTTTTTCCTTCCTCTTCTCTGAATTTTTTCTTTTACTTTTTGACTTAAATTTTTCTTTTCTTCCCTTTGCTTTCCTATCTCTCCAATTTGATTAAGACTAACAATCAATTACTAAGCACATGAGATCCGTTCTGTTTATGCCATATACATTTGTCGAATATATATTAACTGACAATATTACTCTCTTTTGACTTGGCTAGAGTTTCTAATTGGATTATGTAGCTCATAATTAATAATGTTGTATTGCTTGTCATAAAATGAGTTTCAATTAGCTCATATACTGATGAGTTGATAATTTGTGATGAAAACTCTAATGCAGCAAATTTATGTTTGAGAATATTAGGAAAATTTATCGTACGTTTCGAGCTTTGAGCATAATCAAAAAATTAGGATTTCAATGTGAAAATTGAGACTTTAAATCAATAAAATCAACCTGTATTTTTTCGATATTCTAATATTCGCACCAACACATGATTTTGATTCATATGATGTCAATGTTATGCGGATTCTTACTTTAGTCAAAGGAACTCTTTTTCACATAATTAAATCTACAACGAATACTTTTTTGAAGTAATTTAGCAGATCAAAAGATAAATGAAAGCTCGAAACGGACTAAATGTCTTTCACGCGTACTGTGAAACAATAAAAAATACAAATTCACGAGAATATAAATAATTATGGGAACCAGTCCCAAAAAAAAGATTAATCTACTTTAAGCATTTACAGCTTTTTTCGTTGGAAAAGATGATCATAAACATTCCTCACTATCTTTTACGAAGAAGAAAATGACTTATATAACCGTTTCAGAGACTATTTAATGTGAATAACGCTTGGAAACGCTGACTAGACGTAAAAACGGCAAGAAAAGTGATGATCACGTTTTTTCTTGCCGTTTATCACCGTTTCCTAATAGAACTGGTGATTATGACAGTTTAAACGGCATTTTCAGCGTTTCACTTCTTCCTGGGTTAGCCAGTTGTCAGGTATATTGAGTCCCGCGAATAGACTAACTGTTCCGATAGGCAAGCCATTTTGCGCAATACTTGCACTGGCATATGGTGTACAGTGTACCAAGGAACAAATAAGAGCTATCATAATATGATACTTCATTTTGTCCGTTCGTATCATGTTTGTTGCTAGAAAAGGAAAATGACATCTTTTTCATTCAGCTTTTATACTCCTTGATCAAAATAGACTACAAGCAGAACGCAAAGCATTATAAGAGTGTGCCATTCAAACTTCTACGAGAAGGAATAATGAGGCGTAAAAGAAAAAAGCGTGGGGCCGCCTCTCTGAGTACACGTATGCAGACATGAGTTTCTGAATATATCATCACCTGTGGATTTTGTACCTGGGTGAGCCCATGAATGTGCGTATTGGTAGTGTTGTACGTGAGTGTTGCAGTGTTATAGGTAAGGATGTTCCGATGAAGAGAACGTAAGTCCACATGCACACCCTCACGTCACATACCCAAACAGCGAACAACCACACCCATTTCAGCATGTGAACAGTTCAAAATGCAGTTAGAGATGATGTCGACAGGGATAGATGTAGGTGGAATTCTTCTATTCAACAATCGAAAGAGTGAAATACATCTACACTCACACTAATACTCAAAAGCACACCCACATTCTAAATTATTCTGCAAATAGAATTGCACTCGAATTCTAAAGAAATCGTCGAGTTGACTGTGAATCCAAAAAGCTGAAACCATGTAGAATTATACTGCACACCCATTCCAACCCAACTTTGCATTCCGTTTACAAACATTGCTTTATTGCCACGTGGATGTAAATAATCGAGTAGCCGATTCTGACAAATAATTTTGCGATTTTCTACTTTATTTGAGAAATAATGTAAAACTCATGGAAATAGCAAAAATCTGCAGAGTTGAGACTCTTACCCATTCTGAATGTGAGTGTGAATGTACAAATAAAAGTGATACTCAGAGAGTCACCCGAAACTCAACAGCGCTCATAGTCATTCCTAATCATTTCTAAAACACATACACCTACATGCAACATTCATACAAAAAGAACCATTCAGACCAGTATCCAAAAACAAAATACACACAGAAACTACCAGAATCCACCGCACAATCACATAGAAACTAAAACCCACACATCATCTCACGCTCACACCCTTCCACCCAGAGCCACCATAAGCATGCACCCTTGCAGTAACATACAAGTGCCAAATTCACACCTGCATGTTTAAACCAACGTCGAATGAGTCTCAACCACCCATACCGACATATATTCCACACAAACACCTAGACCTCAGCAGCACACCAGTACCCACAACAAAAACTCACATAGAGTATCCGCCAACACATGGTCCCACCCACATAACAACTTACAGATGAACAGTAGCAAACCTACATGGAAACAGAATGGCGTACAATTACAAACACAAGTACTCCAGCACTGAAGCCATCCCTCACATCCTTCTACATTCTATCCTGTCAACCAATCTTACAGTGGCATACCCACAAAGACACTCATATGCACGATCAAATGCTTCCATCCAATAATATCAAATCACCCTCACCGAAATAGCTGTCACCGTACTTCATTTTTCTGCCTGATTCCTTCCATTCGAGGAAATTTGAATCGTATACTCTTATTATGCTTTGCGTTCTGCTCGTAGTCTATTTTGATCAAGGAATATAAAAGCTGAATGAAAAAGCTGTCATTTTCCTTTTCTAGCAACAAACATGATACGAACGGACAAAATGAAGAATCATATTATAATAAATTTCGTTTGCCTTTTGGCGAGCTTTGAGTCTAATGCGATTCCAACTAACCAGCAAAAGGGTTTGCCTGTCGGGGCAGTCAGCATATTCACGGGACTCAATGTACCTGACAACTGGCTAAGATGTGATGGTTCGAACATCTCTCGAACAGCTTACTCCAAGTTATTTTCTGTCGTTGGCACTTTATATGGAGATGGAGACTATGTTAATACATTTACTTTGCCTGATTTTCGCGGTCGGTTTCCCTTTGGCATTAACAATCGGCAAAAATCAAGCTTCAATTCCGGCGGAGAATCTAAGCATACATTAACAGAGGACGAGCTACCAATACATAGACATGATACAGGAACATTTCAGCTAACACGCGCTGGTCAACATACACATAATTATACTGATCCGGGACATAATCATGGTGGCTCAACTGGCGAAGCATTTTTGGGTACTGGACAATATTGGGGAAGTTATCATGGCGGTGGCGCTGGATTAGGGCAACATACACATTCGATCCCTGTCGGAAAAACTGGTATTACTATAGAATCCAATGGAGAACATTCACATGAGTTGAGAGGTTTATCTGGACCTATAGGAAAAGGCAAAGCATTCAGTTTGATGCCACCGTTTCAAATCATTGATTTCATCATCCTATATCAATAATTCTTTGGGCATGCTGATGGCAATGCATAAAGTAAATTATTCTTCAGGAAATTATCCATAATAGTTCTTCAATAAACTACTAAGTATTCTTGAATGATGTTTCGACAATAATTGTGATTATTAATGAACTATTTCTTGTAACTCTGAATGTGTTCAGTATCACACCTGAACATTGAATTAAATTATTGAAGACCTTTCTAACTA